GCGCGGACAAAACGTGCATGGACTGAAGCCGATCTCTGTACTGATCCTTCACAAGAAACAATGTCGGATGAAATTCAAAAATCACATTATTATCTTTGGTAAAACGAGAGACAGACAGCAAGTTCTTAGTAATCGCAGGTACATGAAGAATATCTTTGAGCAATATTAGTGTTGAAGAAGAAGAAGATTTAATAAAAGTATGATCAGTGTTTGTAATGTTTAGACTTGTACCATCTCTAATGTGAACTTGAAGTTTGCTGAGGTCGTGACTTCAACAATGGCGGCAAGTTTGTTTGGCAATCCCTTTATTTCCTGCAGAAAGGATGGCATGGTTCTGTCACCTTTCTTGAGTACAGCAAGATCATCCCTTATGCTAACAGCCCGAGCAGTAGATTTGGGAGAATAGATTCGTTCAAGAGTAGTCCAGACCAGTTTGCTAGTGGTAGAACCGACAACCTGGGACAAAATAGGCTCTGTGAGTGATGCCAATAACCAGCTTAGCAACAAATGATCCTGTTTAACCCAAGTCGTGTAGGTGATAGGAACAAGCTAAAGTCGGCAGTCTTGGCAGTTACTGGCAGGCAGTTTTGACTGCTATTGGTAGTGCAGGGCTGTTGGGAGCTTAACAAGATGCCAGGTCAATCTGGTTGAGTCACCAGTCCAGCTAGCTAATATGTTTCCATTTTTAGTAAGTTGTTACCATACAGTTGTACTTATAACTACCTTCTGTTACTTCTGTTACTGCTTTTTGTTACTCATGTAAAGAACAGTATACAAGCCTCACTAGGGGCAGAATAAAGACAGCAGATTTGTTACTTTCTCTCGACTCTTTTCTTCCTCAAATTCTTCTTCATCTTCTTCTCTATTTCTTCTCATCCTCTACTTCTCTTCTTCTCATTTTCATTCTCAATTCTTCTGTTCTCTAAAGATTTTGGAATTGATACACAAGTCTGTATCAAGTGGTATTAGAGCTTGATTAGAGGTGTAAATCGGGCCAGGCAGCCTGCAGCCCGGCTCGATGGTCTGTGTCATGCTGGGCTAGGGTTCGAGGTCCATGGGCCGGCACGGCACGACTTAGTGCCATGTCGCCCGCGGGGCCTATAGCAAGCCGAGTGTGGCCCATCCAAAAACTA